CAAATCACAAAGTCCTAGCAGAAGATGGATTTTAAAATGCTATCCATCCAGTTCATTCCTAGATCTCAGACATTTCTCAGAAATGATTTTCAAAAAGCAGCAGACAAAAGTTCTCATGCCCAGTCTTTCTATGGGGAGAAAATATTTGATTGCGATGCAAAGAATCAACTGGTTTCCATCAAAGTTCACTCACCATTGAGCTTTGAGAGGGATCTAAATTTAATCATTATAGCTACATTTGGAAGAATGCCCACGCTAAAGCAAAGAATAGATCTTAAACCTATTTAGAAATTCAAAGCCCTGACGTTCGTCATGTATTCTGAAAATGAAAAAGAATAATTTCTTAGCATTTTCCCCTTAGATGTAAAGGTCATTTTCTAACCAGTGGAGGATACAGAAGGGCAGGGCCTATGTCTTCTCATTTACAACTGCATCTCTGTGGCAAATAAAATACCTGGCATGTACTGTGCAATCAATAAATATTGTTGGAGTGAACTAATGACCCAGTGTTCTTGTGTAACAATAGTTAGTTGGCTATAAATGTTGATTCAAACCAGCGCATCCAAAGACAATGGCTAATTAGTGCTCCAACTCTTCAAATAGATATTTTAAAATACACTTAAAATTGTGCTATTTACCATGACATTCATGTATTCAAAGGTACCTCAAAACAAGCATGTTAAATGAAGTCTGCATCAATTAAGGGGAGAAAAGGGTATAGTAAAGCCCTAATAGGGCCGGTCCTATGGGCTGACCATAGTTCGAATCCAGCCCCGGCAGCCCGAAAAACATGCCAGGTGTGTGTGTGTGTGTGTGTGTGTGTGTGTGTGTGTGTGTGTATGTCAAAATCCCGACAGGCTGAGAAACAGAGAAGGGATTGCAGTGTGACCACGCCCCACTGGGAGCCCCTTTCCCCCACTCCACCCCTGCAAGTGTATACACTGTCTTGGCAGTGAAAAATGAGTAAGTAGAAATAAAAAATAAAGTGCTAATATGTATTCATTACCATGAGAGACACTTGTGGACAAGAGGAAGGAAGTGTATACAAGGTATGTACACGATGAATGTACCGTGCATGGACTTTGCCCACAAAAGTCTCAGAAGCCCAAAGTAGGAGTGCTACTAGCCCCACAGTATGACTAAAAGGACAGGAGGCTTCCCAAGCATACAAGGAAGTCCTAAACTAAGTAATGGATGTCTTAGAAACATATTTTCTTCTTAGCTTATTTCTTTATACATCTCTGTCTTAAATTTCTAATTTATCCCCTTCTTCTTTCATTCAAATAAAACACAGTCGACCCCCACTTGGTGTGTTTAACTCCCTTAGTTTGCAGTGTAAGCCACTCTTGAAAGTGTAATCTGAAAGTGAGAATGCTATGTAGGGGTATTTTTCTTTTCTTGCTAGGCCAGTGAAGGCTACTGGAATAAATGAAACGTTCAGTGCTTTCGACGTTATTGAACAATGTTTTCAGTTTACATTATTTAAAAAAGACCTGAGGGACCAACAGATAGTGTAATGGCCATGTTGCTGGACTCCCAGACCATGGTTCAAGTCCTAGACACGGTGGCTTAAACTCACTTCAGGCACGTGTGCGCCCAAGATCCTGAGAGGAGAATGGAAGAGAAGGGATTGCGTCATGGCCACCCCCCCTGGGGGTGATTTCTCACCTTCTGTCTCTCTGTCTCTCTCTGTCTTTCTGGCAAGCACATGCACCCTATAGCAAAAACCTCTCCAAAATAAAAAAGAAAGACTTGAAATTTTATTTTTGTTTAAAATTTAGAATGTAATGCTTCTTCCAAAATGCACTGTTCTTTGTAGTAAGCACAAAATTGGCCCCATGTGTTTAGAAATAATACAGAACTATTTTATATTTGTGTCTTGAGGAATTAGATGTTTCTTTGAGGAAATGCACAGATCCTCCTGGTGCATTTAAAGACAACAATACCCACTTCTGATTGTGAGGGGTGGGAGAGGCCCTACACACTGAGAGGCTCACGTTAAGACTGCGTACTCGCTCTGTGCACACACAGCCCCAAAGCTGTGTTGTTCTCCCGAAAAGACTAAAACAGCTTTAAAAGTTTACCCTTTGGAAGACTGAAAAATGTGGCTGTAATGGTTGAGAAATTTGTGAGATTTTAAAATTATGTCAGGCTTGGTGCCAAGGGTCCTTTGCTGAGCTTTTATGTTTATTGGTCTTTATCAATTCAAAATTTGCAGAAGTTCCAAACAAAACGGAATGACCCTCAGTTCTTGTTTAAGCTTCCTGGGCCTACTTGGGATGGGGGAGTGTTGTGTCCAGGGTCAGTGACATGGGGAAAGGGTCTCCTTCAATTGGAATGTTCTCCCATTCTAACGGTAAACCCAGTCCCTCGCCTTATATCTGTGAAAACACTGTCGACCCAAAGCTCCTAAATAGCAGGAGCATAAAGTTCCACATCAATTGATAAATACCCTCGGCTCTTCTGGGAAGACTCTCTCTTGGGGAGAAAGAGTAAAGAATCTCCCACCAAAAAGCAAAAGGGAAAAAAGAAAGTGAGCGATCCCATCGCTCTCACAGCAGTTCACCCACCCCAGAGTTGCAGCCGTGAAGTGTGGAGGATGACAAGGACAGAGATTCGGACTTTCCCCATCCCACCACATCACACAGCCAAAATTCAACTATTACCAGATTTTTCATTTTATTTTTTTGGATCCACATTTTAGCTTTATCCTCCCAGAAGAGTCTTATCTTCCATCCATGACTTGATTTCATGAATCATCCCTTCCCCTTAATACTCCTTTTTAAACTGAGGAACACCGACTTGGTACTTTCCTCTCATCTTTGCATTGTTTGAAAAATGCACACAGCACAGACCTGCAGGGACCGTTTCTCTTTGTGCCTCGGGCATTTCCATCATGCACACACCCTTCCCTGTAGGCAAGAAACTGCAGGGCTGGAGGGCCACCTCCATCTTGAGATGGCCCCCAGAACCTCTGTGCTTGCCGAGTAGGCTGTGGTGCTTCAAGCTTGCAGCAGCCGGTACACATCCCTCGCCTTGCATTGCAGATAAAACCTCTAGCTGATGGTCGACTTGATTGTCTAAACCACAGCTAAATGGTTTCCTGTGCATTTCTCAAAATAAGTATTGAGCAAAGGAAATGAAATCAACCAGTTTAATAATGATCAACAATTTTCCTTCCACTACCCCTCCTGAAAGGGTATTTTCATAAGTCAGTTTTTAGGGAAAACATTTCTGAAAACGTGTATTGGGAATTTTAGCTTTGCTGAAATACTGGGTTAACTACCATTCTTAAATGCTGTTTTCAGCCTACAAAATCGGTGCTATTAAAAACAAAAAAAATCGCACCCTTCCTTAGAGAATCCAGGAATCCAGTAAGGACCTTTGTTAAAGACAACATACCTTCTACTTTAAATGATACCTTATTTCTCTCTCCTCACACATTAAGTGACCATAACTAAGAGCTTTGCTTTTATCCACCTTTTAAAATATGGACTTTGAATGATTGAGAACTTATCGAGGACTCAAGGCTTGGATGAGCCAATTCATTCCTGC